AAATAAGCCTAAAATAATAGCTACCACTTAGAGATGTGGGAATTAAGTCGTTAATTGTAGATTATGTAGTAAAGATTAAGGATTCCCATCATAATCCCCTTAGTAAGGATTGACAAGACTGAAGGCTCTAAATTCCGAGCCTTCGAAACAATAGACTTCGCAATTATTCTAATATCCGTCCATGCGTCTAACGGACTATAACTGCTCTCCGTATAATGGGTTTCAATCCTTCCCCAATAACATACTCTCTTATAACTTTCGAGGATCAGAGGTCTTCAGGCAAATCCCGTTGTTTTCATACAAGTATATGAAGCCAAGACTGCTTAACCAAAAGAGTTCCGATATTTTTTGGTGAGCATGATGACAAAGCGATCCCCTGTCGTGCTAAATATTTTAGCTTATTTCAATTCCCTTGTCAGAAAAATTCAGTTTGTCCTTGCAATCACTAACTGATACCAAGGCAATACAGTTGCACCTCAGTTAACGAGTTTAATCCGTTCCAGCACCGAGCTCGTCATCTGAAACCCTCCTCTGCCTAAACTTAGTCAGGCGACCGAGGAAACTACGCCCTGGGCTAAGACTCAAGGACGGACACAGGCACACGCGCACACACACGTACGGACAACTCCTTAAATGAACGGAAGCTCGTAAATCGAAAGGAATTTTCTGCGAATAGTTCATTCGTCACTTGAAATGCTTGTCTTAACTTGCAGCTGCATTGCTAACTAGTAATAGTAGAAATAGTGGTAGCCGTATCAGTCTCGGCCTCCATTAAGCCTGTCTTTAACCTACTGAAGGTAAGTGAGGGGAAATAGTGCGGTAGTACCTGCACAAAGTCTACTGTCACTTAAGACTAAGTTAGGCGGTGTTTCTGGCTTGCATTGGAGACAGCTGCCAACGCCGGATCCAGTCTGGTCTTCTTGACCCATGGTGAAGATGAAGAGTGCGATTAGTGCTAGCTACGTCTGCTATCATTTTGAACTACCCTCTGTAGCCAGTTACCATTACTGTGCCAAGTGGTCGGTGCATATGGTGTATCTAATCGAAATCGATGGTCGAACAATCACTACAAATACTTGTAGATGGATCTGTTCATCACACAAGCCTCTACTGTAATGGAAATGTCCTTCGATTTACCAATTACACGCATGCTTTGGTGTTCCTCGTTAGTGCGTGCATGTGTTCCACCAACGCCC